TGGACAATTCGTTCGCCAGCTCGTTAGTTAAGCTTACCAGCCAGCCTTTTTGTGCGTGCCGCCTCCGTTTAAATTGTACATACATACATACATACATACATACATACATACATACACACACATACAGACATACGTATAGTACATATTAGAGATGAACGTGACTATTTATATTGCGTAAGGAGTAACTGAAAATATGAATGATTGGCAGGAATGTTGGCTCTTCAGCTGCTAGAAATCAATACTAATTAACTTTGTTAACGATTAGTCCAATAGTTTTGAAGCTTATAATGGATAGTTTAGATATAAATCGCACATATTATGATCGCTAATTTCGCACCAACACCAATCTTAAATACCACTTTTTTTTATGGCAGCTACGATATAAGTTTTCCGATTATAAATAAGATATCGAAACAAACAGAAGAAGTGTTTAGTACTAAGATTGACCGATCCTCCTTCCGAAGCTTTAGTATACCTTGAGGTACCATACAAATGATATAAATGTCAAATTTCCTTAAGATAGCTTCATAAACAAAAAAGTGTTTCCCTTAAGAGTGGTTTTATACACTGATTGGACCTACAGTAATAAGGCTTTATATGGTTTGCAATAAACTTATTAGTTAGGTTTAAAACATATGCACGGATAGATGGGCTGATCTCCATCGATTCATTTCGTCCTGCTGATAATCCCCTTCCGAATCAACAGAGATTGCACGATTAAGAAGCACTTTGAACGAGTGATTTCGGCCATCGGTGGGCATGTCTTTCAGAATGGAGGTACAAGCCTTATAGCGCTTTCCATTTATGGGCAAATACAAATGTTCTTTCAAAAAAAGCCCCAACTTCCTTTTTTTACGATAGGAATACGGTGAATTAAACACAGCATTAACCGTTTTCACAGCTGGAATGAATTCTCTATAAATGTATCCTTTGGACTTAGATTATTATTATGGAACAAATCTATATTGTGTTTAATTTTGTAGCGTTCCCTCTTGTTTGAATTTAAGAAAAAGATGTACATAACTAACGCTGACTGACTGGCCTCCAAGGGATATTTTTTAAATTACTGTTTCCTTTGGGCTATACCTCGATCTGTACACTCCCAACATGGGATCTGTTTTGTCTTTGTATGCCAATTGACGTTTAGTCCTTCGGGTATGGGGCAGCTATGGCTGGCGCCAATGGTTTTGGTTAAGTACTTCGTATGAGAAGCGCAGAGAAGAGCCGCGATTTTTATATATTTATATTAATAATATAAAAAACTCAGCTATAGGTGCTTGAACGCTTTCGGTTAAGTGACTCGTATGAGAAGCGCAGAGGACGGCGCTAAATAAATGTAAAATGTAGCTGTTTTCTTCTTTTTTGAATTTAAGAAAATGGTTGTTTTTAGAAAATGCAGAGCAATAGTTGACAAACTTTCGGAGGTGTAAGCAGACAAACGTTTATTTTTAATTTTAATTAATTTTTTTTGGCAGATAAATCTGTTTCTTAGTTGATTCGATTATTTTTTGAATCACGCTTCCATCTCTAATACGCACTTATGTGTGTAATTGTAATGAGATTTCATTTGAATTTAATATGAAAATGGACTTTTGCTTTTTAATATCATTTTATATAAGCAGCTTTTGCAATTGAGTTTTAATGAGGGCGGTGCTCATGCACACTTAGAAATGTAAATAGGAAGCGTAATGTATTTTTTTTTTTTGCACACTATTTTTGATTGCCCTAATGCGATTATGATTTATGCATGCGCTGTGGGCCTTGAGCATCAGAGGCAGTCTATAGGGAAAAATTATATAAATTAGTTGCCACAACAAGGCTAATAAGCTGATGCTGCTGACCCAAGATCATATAAATCAGGCGCCATGTGCCATTAAAATGCATTGTCAGGCCGAAAAAAATAACTAAGCAAAAAGAGCAACTAGAAACAAAAGTAAAGGCGACGACAATGACGACAATGGTAATGATGGTAATGATGATGACGATGACAACGAATGGCGGCCAATAAGCAAAGCACAATTTATGCACGGATGGCCGACGTCAAGAGCGCTTTTGTCAACAGCCAACCACAACAACAACAACAATAGCAACAGAAACATTGTCAACCAGTTGAGGGCAAAGACATTTAGCCCATGTTCTCAAACAGAAACTGCAACTACAAGGTCATTCAGTCAGCCAGCCAGCCAGCCAGCATAGTCGTTTAGTGCATTTGGGCCAGCTCTTCTTTTTGGCCGACTGCAAGTCTAGACTTCAAGCACCAGCAACAGCAGGCAACATCAACACTCAGCTGTTTGTTTGTTTCGGCGATTAGGCCAGAAATATTTGTAAAATGAAAGGCCGAAACAACTTTGTGTTCAATTCGCTGCAGCAATGAGTTGTCGCTCGCTCTAAGGTTTTCCGTTCTAGCACAAACAAATTATAATTACGTGATTAATTAAAAATTACTCTGCTCGTTTTTCTTTATCTCGATATCTATACACATACACATATAACTTTGCTTAGTAAGTATAATTAGCCGAATCTTATAGAATGGTCTCTAATGCCAGTTCAGCGGCCACACTCAGAGAAAAGGTCAAAATTTGTGATGTAATTTTACAAGAGAGAGAATATACTTATACCTTCGATTTTTCTGATACTCGTAGAAAGGTAATATTATTATTAATTTTTTTGTCAAGGAATGAGCATTTTTAAAATTTTTTCAAGAACTAGAAACCAACAGTGCCAAACGAAAGTATGTACATACATTTGCAATGTATTCTACAACCTCATGAAGAAAGGAAAGGAAGGCGTGGGAACGCCCATATTTTCAAAATAATATTCAGCAAGTCTCATTCCTCGCCCTGCTAGATATGTACCAGATTTCGTAACTATGTGTCGAATATTTGCTGAGTTATGTCAGCGTTTGTATTTCGATTATGTGGAGGGGGGATGTGGTTTTCCATTCGCCAGTGATCCAAGTCCACTAGTTTTGTAATAAAAAACATACATACTAAAGTATTTATGGCTGAAGGGGCTCCGGTTAGTCGATTCGTATGAGAATCGCCGAGGAGGACAGTGTTTTTAATTACATCGTATATCTATATAACTAATGTGAATAAATGTGGCTTCCATAAGGTCCATCGTATAAAAAGCGCACAGTAGTGCTCCATTAAATTCAATTCAAAAATTAATTTATGTAATTAAAGTGAAATAATGAAATATTGGTGCTTAAAGTGTCTTCGATTAGTTTTGTGTCGTATGAGAAGCGCAGAGGAGGGCTGTGTTTTTAATTAAATTGTAAAAAATATATACTTGTTTAATTATATTTGTAATTTAATAGCGATAGTTCTAAGACTTTGAAAGGAGTAGTAACTGACATGTAACTATAATATTTGGTCTGCCAATCTTCCTTCTCTAATGCGTATTTCAATTTTCACATAAACTGTTTGAAAATTTAAAAAAAAAACAAGAGTTGGTTTTTAGTAATGAAAAGGCAGAATATAGACAGATTCCCATTAGGTTTATTTATTTTGCGGCAATGTCGTCTAATCGATGAACAAGAGTTTTAAGTGTAGCACTAAATGTTCTAATGGCAGGCGAAGGTTAGGCCTAATGGCCATTACTTGGCTTTGGCTATGGCCATAGCTATACCTATACCTATAGCTTTGGCTCTGGCCTGAACTGATTCATCAGCAGCTGTCAGTCATTCAGCAGCGACAATACCGACGACAGATTTGAAATTGCGTAAGTTAAAGTTTTAGTTAACTTGACTAAGAGTGCAATTAAAAAGCACGCGCTCCAAAGACAGTCGATTAAATTTGGAGGCACGACTTGAGCACAAAGCTACGAATCGTATCGAATCGTATCGGAACGGAACGAAACGACTCAAACAAGTTTCGACTCAGACTCAAAAATTCGATGCTTAACTCAAAGCTTGGCTTCAGCAGCTTCAGGCGACTAGCAGCAATGTTTTTGCAAAAAAGTCAACAACAATTGAAGTCAGTTGAAGTTGAAACGTCTGAGCGAATGCTTGTGGACGGCGGCAAAAAATTATAAATTAAAAAAAAAAAATTAAAAAACCTACCAACTGAAAAATAAAATACAATAGTTAGTTCAGCTGCTTTGGCTTTGGGCTTTCATTTAAGACAATCGGTGTTTGACTCCACTCCCAAAATAAAAACAAGATATAATAAAAAGTTTCGGCTGAGATTTGTTGCACAAATTTTCACATATTGACAAAGCAGTAGAAATAATAATAATACAATACCAAAAAAGTGCTGTACTAGCGACAAGCGAACGTGTGTGTAATTGTTGTTTGTGTTTTTTTGTGCTATATTCGTGCCCCATTGTCTCAGCTGCAACTGCAACAGTTGCTGCCTCTGTTGTTGCTGCTGAAACTGAAACTGCAACTGCAACAGCCGAGAAGGCCCGCCCGCTATTTTGGCGGCATATTAGGCAACAACAACAACGGGTGCTTTATAGGCCAAGCAAGCTAGGCTAAAATAAAAAGTTGCCGCCGCACCGCACCCCGCGCGCGCTTCTCGTGACATGCAAATTTAAGTATAACTGTTTCACTTTATTTTTGGCGTGGCGTGGCGCGAACAACACCAACAACTACAACTACAAGCAACTACAACTACAGCAACAAATGAGCGCAATTGCAACTTGTTAAGCGTAAGCTGCTGTTGCTTATAAAACGAGATTAACAATTATTGCTTTTTAAAATCAAATTTAACGAGTTGGATATTCGTGTGGCACGCGTTTTATTTGTCGCCCCAGCCGCTAATAGTGTTTGTGTTGTAAGTGAAAAGACAGTGTAGAGGGAACGATTGCAGTGCTGTTGTTTTTGTTGTTAATGCACTTAAAACAAAAACAAATTGCAAAAGCATTGCGCAAATGAACGACGCCAACGCTTTTTACAAGTAGCAAAGGCAGCCAACAACATCACAAATTTTTCTTTCTCTCACTTACCTTGCCTCAACAAGTGAACGAAACGAAAGTCGAACACTTGACAGCATTTGGCAATTGGGTGTGAGTGTTGACTCTTTGTGTGTATTTGTGTGTGCGTGTGTCTGTGCAACACGAAAAGGTTAAAGCATAACGTTAGCCAATTAGTTAAGATAATAAAAAGCGTTAAGTGTGCAGCAACATTTTGAAAGGTGACGGCGAATCAACAAATCCCATCAACATCCTCAACGAAGGAGGAGGAGCTCACGCAACACCGCTAGCAACATTTCAACAAACAGCAGCAACATGTTGCCAAGAATAACATTCGTATTGGTACTAATCTGTGGTTATTACCTGCTGTTTACAGGTGAGTGGGGGCTACAAGTTAACGGCCCAATGTAACGTTTAATATTATAATTGCAAAAATGATTACCATTCACCAAACATCTACATGTACCACCAAAATGAGCAATGTTTTAATTACTTCTGTTGTTATTTATAATTTGAATAATTCTTGTAAAAGTATGTAAAAGTCATGATTTGAGAGAAAAACAATTTTTTAGACAACTTTAAGTTTGAGAATGAAAAACTGCTGTCATCAGATACTGTATTTGAAAAATGTGGATGAAAAAGCCTGTCGGCGAAAAAAATGGAATGGCCTATGTAAATCAATTGCATATAAAATGCAATAGAACGGTAGAAATATTAAAAATAGATCCACCCTACCAGAATTGAATGTCATCAAAAATGGTTATAGATTTTAGTGAGAAGGACCAGAAGGTGACCCCAAAAAATCTTCCACGATGGAGGTCATCGCTTTAAAATTGTGCGGTTGAGCTTGCACAAAACCAAAATAATAATACTCCATTGCTCATGCACGCTGCTCCATTGGTGCAAAAAATCTAAAGACAAAGATTTGATTTAAATTTATCTAACAATTTTCGTAATTTTTAGAATGCATTTAAACCAATAATACATGAATGCAACAAAATATATAAATGATTCAATTCTTGTTTTTCGATTCGATTTTTTATTTTATATTTTAAATATATAGCATAACAGAAAAAAAAAAAAATGAATCTTGTTTGATAGAGTTAAACATACGAAAGTCGGTGAATGTTAGCCATATCGGTTATATGGCAGCTATATGAATTAGTGGCCTAAGCTGAACCAAACTTGGTGTGTTCTCTTGGGGGACCAAATTATCTATACAAACTAAATTTGGGGTAAATACTATATCTTAATATTTCGAATTTATTCCAAAAAAAGGGGAAAAAGAAACTGCCTTGGTTTTAGTACAGTAAGTATAGAGTTTGGCTCTTTTTGGTTTTTACTCATCACTAGCATAGTTTACAAAATTCCCACAGATATTGGGTTTACGCGAAAAATGCAGTCATCAAAAATATTCGATAGGAAAATAGGTATTTTAAAATAAATTAAATTCGGCAATAGTATTATTTCATAAGTTAAGAATAATCTATCGAAATCATATGTTTTTCTTTAAGGCAGCTTTATTCTTAACTTTTGATTTTAAATTTTAATAAAATTTCAATTCTTAAAAACGAGATCATGTTTTAAATTAAACAAATACTTTACTTTGCTTTTTATATTGCAATTAAAATTTATTTTCAAAGTATTAAAATTGAAAGCCGTTTTAAACAAAACTACAAAACTCTAATATTTTGTACATCTGAAACGATTTACAATAAAAGTTTAAAATTAGAAAAATATGTTCCAATTTTTAGGGCTTTCTGAAATTTGAAACATTTCTCTTGCTGAGTGTACATATTTCATAAATACCACAAAACTAAAATGATTTATACGGCATATACATTTAACATTCCGCACTGAACACTATTAAATGCCAAATTTCTAAATGCAATTACCAAAATCGAAAAAAAGTAGCGACAAGCACAATTATGGCCATAACGGAATAACGACAACAACACAAACCACCAACAGCAAATACTGCTGCCCATTTTTAAACAAATTGTTAGTTTTAAGCCAAATTCAATTACATGAGAAACACGAGCTAAGCGCAATAGTTTCGAGCAGATTACACGACAGACAGAAAACAGAAAGACGACGGACTACCTTGATGTGTCAAACGACAGGCACCTTTGACGACACGATGCCAAACAGACAACGTCACATACAAGGTGTGTTTCGGAGTAATCGAAACTTTTTGAATTAGAAATATAATTAAGGCGATCAAAACTCCAGAGTTTTTCAACACACAGTTGAAGATTTGTGACTTTCGAGTTGCTAGTTGAGAATTTTTGTAGAAATCAATCATTTTTTCATAGGTTTATTATTATTGTATATCAATACTAGGAACCCTGATCTAGTTTGGCATCAACTCTTTTTATTTTAAAATATAAATTAACTATACACTCCAAAAACGTTGTTAATTAAAGTCACTTAATAAGTAGGTTGCGAGTCATGGCTTTGACATCGAGAATGAAGTTGTTTGTGAAAAACATAAAATTAATTGTTTTTTTTTTTTTAAACTTATACAAATTAAGCAAAATCAAAACTACATTATATGTACGAGTATGTATTAAATACTTCTTTATCGTCTATATTTTTCATGATTTTATAAATCTATTAAATTGTTCTTTTGAAGTTTTCATTTGTCTCTTTTAACAAATCAATCACGAAAGCTAATCCAATTTATAATAATGTTTTCATATCATTGATCCATTTCCAAATTTTTAAACAGAAATCAGTGAACAAGCTCAGCAGCTTTCGAATGAACTTATTCTGAACGAACCGAGGATGCAAGTTTCGGCTGAAGAGAGAACTAGAAAAATGAGCTTCAAACAAAAAACGATAAACAAACAAATTTTTTTCAAGTTTCATAATACCTTAAAAGCATTGTTGAAGGAGTGTGTTGATTGTTAATTCCGTACCAGAGTTTATCGTTGGTAAACAGACTTTAAAAGCAATAGCATATCACTCGATCAATGTAATTTCTGTTGATCGTACATTAATAGTTACTGTTAAAAAATGTACTGATAAATCAACTGATGCCCTATCATGTGTAATTTTTATTGAAAAAGTAGGATAAACAGTTCATCCTGCACTCAATAGTAAAAGACTAAAAGGTGGAACGATTCGAAAATAAAATTCCCAATTATTCTGTTCCAAAATGTGCGTTTTTCGATCTACAAGTACACTACAACTTATATGTTTCTTCTGTACAAATTGATTAACAAAAAAAAAAAATGTCTAAAAAATGTCGTAAATGCGCCCGAGGTTTTGTGTTTTAAACTGAACATTTATTTTCAACCCACATCCCGCTCCTTAAGTTTGCTTATTATTGATTGAACGTATTAAGCGACATTATCATGTGACATATGCTTTTAGATCGTGTAAATCGATCTGTAAAACTCCAAAAGAGTTTTGTTTTGAAGAAGTTTGATTTACTTTAGAACGCACCTAAGAGTAGTGGGACTAGAACGCAAGCCAAAACTACAGACGTGCTCAGCAAACAAACGTATTGGCCAAATTGTATTTATGGTTCGGACTCCGGAGACCTCTTTGGGTGTCGATTGAGTGCCAGTTTATGGGCATTTCTTGGCGCATGCGTGGCAGCTAGCATGTCCAGTCGAATGGGCACAAACATTGCGACGCCTTGCATCATCATTCATGCATCATGCATTCAATCATTCATTCATTCATATGAGTGTGCATACGAGTATGTATGAGCGTTGGCGTTGTCATCTTCGACTTGTTTTATTATTCAGAAACACAGAAACACAGCCACTATAGTTAATGTTATTTATGAGCCATAAAGTAACAGCCGCAACTAGTTACTTGGCCATTTTTTCATTATTTTTTCAATCCCAAAGGCGCGCCAACAAAAAAATACGTATAAACTGGTTACAATTTTACATTCACAAATGCTGGTGCTTCTGTTGTGTTGCAATTGCAACGGATGCGCCACCTCAAGCGACTTTCTAATATCAACCATGCAGTGCTCTGTCCTCTCCCCTTTACTTGCATCAATAAGGTTCTCGCGCAGTTAACCCATTAACAACAACATGGGTTTGTTTCTACACATGCGATTTTAAGGAAGGCAATTCTGGATTTGTTTCCTCAACGCTCCACATGTGTTGTTTTCATTTTGGACCTACATCAAATTCTTTTGAAATCTTATTTTAATAAACTTTATATCATCTCTCTCCAAAATCTGCTAATATGCAAAAGGAAATAATGTTGAGGGGTTATTGGAGAACTTTAAAATGAAAAATGAAGATGGAAATATCATCTCCCTTCAAAATCTGCAAATATGCAAAAGGAAATAATGTTGAGGGGTTATTGGAGAACATTAAAATAATAAATGAGGATGGAGATATCATCTGTTTTCAAAATCTGATAATATGCAAAAGGAAATAATGTTGAGGGGTTATTGGAGAACTTTAAAATGAAAAATGAAGATGGAAATATCATCTCCCTTCAAAATCTGCAAATATGCAAAAGGAAATAATGTTGTGGGGTTATTGGAGAAGAAATATAGTTTAACTCCAATGCGGAATTTTTTGAAACTCCAAAACATCCACTCAAAACAATTACAATTAAATGGCATAATTTAATAATTTGGTTCACAGGAAAATTTGGTATAGTATGCTGTTTCAATTGTGCTCCTTTACCATGAATTTCGATTAACACAAAGCATATTTCGGAAATGCCTTTAAGCTAATGGTACACATAACACGAGTGATCTGCCATAATGGGTTCATGGTGGCCATCAGCACCGTCAGAATCGAACTATTTTCCACCATGAACATCAAAATCGGTGCTTCCCGTGATCGATTTTCCACATAACTTAGACTCCTGTCGGACTTCATTATTTGCAGGAAGGTATGTCTTTTTTGGTCTGATTGTTTATTTTGAACTCCCATGCAGGAAACATTTAAGATCGTATATGCTAAATACGTAATATCAAGCCATTACTCGTATTGTAAAAACAGCAAAATAAGTGAATAGCAAATCTATCAGAAAAAGCGGTATACAACGTAAAATGAAGATAAGTCTGAGAGTTATAACTAGTTATGCGAAGAAACTACGAGTACTACCCGAATTGAGCCGACTTTCTGCCTACACAAAGGATGAAAAGGTGTTATAGTTCTTCAGTGAGAATTAGGAGCCTCACTTAAGACATAAGAAACGTTAAGGAGCTTTATAATTAGTTGCTTTAAAAATCCTTATTTCATTGAGTCTTCATATACTTATATACAAATAAATACATATTTTTCTCGTATAGTTCAGTATCATATGGAAAGGTGCTGATACTCATGGGTTAATGCAAACGTTTCCTTTTGACATTTGCAGCACTTTTAACGCAAATTTGAAGGTTGCCTC